ACAAAACAGAAACTATGATGTTGTTGTTGTTTTTTTTTATCTAACTGAGAGGTTGAAAATAAACAGAGTGCATCTTCCTCCACAGTTTACCTGAACTGTTTGAACTTATTAACAACTGTGTTATAGGTTTCCTCTGAGGAGGCACTCTGTGCCTGCAGGTGTCAAGCAGCAACAAAGGATTGTTTAACAACTTGCTGATCTCTTGCTTGTTTGTCCACTTCCAATCACTCCATCCTCACAGTCCCTCTCTGAGTTGTTGAGTTTTCCTAACGTCTTTATTGAGGAAATTCCTGCTTGTTGAGTCTCAGTGAGGGTTTACCGCTGCATTCAGACCAATTTTAACCCTGCATGAAAAAATGTAGCCCCCTCATTAATTTGAATGAAGCTCATCCAGTGATGCAGCGTGGGTGCAAGGATCTCCAGCCAGAAAAAAAACATAACAAGCAAACAAAACAGCAACAACAAGAACAAAAAAAACCACCATCATCTGCAAAGAAGTTGAATGTGGTTACTGACCCGGCCAAATACATGGAAGTCCAGTCTTGCAGATCTCTACTATTTACCTTGCAATTGTTGCAACGAAAGGTAGAATCATTGTCACCATGTTTATTTTCCAGGGTTGTAAAGTCCTGTTTCATAATATCATGAACCGCTGTGTAGTGATAAGCCTTGAAAATCATGAATTTGGTACTCAAATTGTACTTTCTGGACCATTGTTCATTGTCCCACTCGGACGTAAAATAACACTGTAACCCTATAACAGTGTCAGACTCATGGTGGAAAATAAAGAAATTAACCAGGGATGTAATCTTTAGGTGTGTCACAATTCAGGGATGCATCAACAAAGGTGTGGTCCCTCGTAGCTGTCGTAGCCTGACTGGTAAAGTGGAACTGAAAAAAAGACAGTCGGGCCTACTGATGCTGCCTCACTTTATCATTTATAACACTACATGTTCACCTTTGTCACTGTTGCAGGAATCAGAAAAAAAATTACTGAATAAAAAGGGAATGGATGGCTGTCCTGAATGTCCCCAGTTTGAATCCAGCTGGAGACGCTTGTTGCATCCTCTTGCATGCATTCACATTATCTTAGTTAATATAAACATGCACTGACTTTTCCAGAGATTTTAAGACATTATAGCAGTTACTTCAGGGATAATAACTTCACAACCTGGAGACACTTAACACAGCATTTGAAGTGTAAAAAGTAGCTGCTGTAGCTTCCCACTTCCTACATGCACCTTGTGCTGTTGCATGCTGTAACAGTAATAAAAAGATCAGTTTCATTAGTGCTTCTTTGTCCTCTCACACACAGTGGAAGTGGTACAGCGGCCCACCCAGAGTGGCACTGCAGCCTTACATGGACACACACTTGAGGCTCTAAGTTTAACATCTTATTCATCAACGCTCAGGCAGCCAAAACACACACACACACAGCAACAAGCACACACGCTTCTGTGACTGCAGTGGAGATTGAACCTGGAAAACAAAAGGCAGTGTCAGAATGGAGAGTTTGGATGTCAGAGGGGGGAGGGAAAAGAAGATGGAAATAGAGAAGGAGAGAGATATGAGGAAAGGAAGAGAGAAGAAAGAGAGAGATAGTGGAACATATAACCCATGTGTCTTGAGCCTGGATGTAACCCCGGGGAAATTCAGCAGTACAGCAGAGTTACTGTGCTGTTTTGATTTGATGAATATTCATGATCAGGCAGAGGGAGGGAGGCAGGGAGGCAGGGAGCCTGGTCCGTGGCAGCATTTTGACGTGTTGCTGCTGCAGCTCGCGTGAAGGGAGAAAAAGAGAGTCTTGCCTGTGCAGTCGAAGCCTGATGTAGCTTATTATTCCTCTGTGCCATAGGCCTCCACTGTCTTCCAGAAAATTTTAAAATCACATTAATAAGCCACACTATTGCACCGGGTGACGAGTTCTTTTATTATAATGAACGTTGGCACTGTAGTGAGTCAGTCCCACTTGCAGTACATAAGCCTCTTTCTGTCCATTTTCTGCCACTCATCCAGGTGTAGGTCCTGGTGGCAGGAGGCTAAGCAGGTACCCCAGGCATCCTTCTTCCTCACCACATCCTCTAACTCACCCTTGGTGAGGTGTACGCAGGCCAGATGAAATATATGTAATCCCTTAAGCATGTTCTGGATGTGCCCTGGTGTCTTCACACAAAGCAGTGGCAAAGCATGAGAGTGTTTCTCTTCATGCATCAAAGGGTTAAATAATGCATTTTTGTAGTTCTATAGAGAAGATTTCAAAATATTGTGATATATATTGTGTATCGTGATATAGCCTAAAAATACTGCAATATTTTATCAACTATATTGCCCAGCCCTACCTCGATTGATGAACAAGACCACAGGATGCCATCCTCCATTTTTCCAGCACACTACCAGGGAACCTGGGGACTTGGCACTTCACTGCTTCAGCAGAGACTGACTGTTGCGGCCTAATAAAGTCAGCAGAACCACATCATGCACAAAGAGAATGCACTAAACTGAATGCTGACTTGCCAAACGTGTTAGCATTTGTGATAGCCTGGTTCCAGACCTCTGAACTGTTGCCCACATCTTAGATTTGTTCAGCAAGTCAAACAGATCTGGTGTGTTTTTGGCCCCAGTTACACAAACAATTGACCAGTCAGAAACTAATAGGTTGGAATAATAATAGGGACATCATCATCTAACATAGTAAGCTAGCTCAGAACATTGATTTAAAAATTAAAATCAACATATTTTGTTGAGCTGTGAAAAACTTAAAGCAACTGCTTGCACCGTTTCCATGTCAACTAAAAATGACATCAGCCGTACGGATATGTCACTTGCCAATGATTGGTTAAGGCAAAACAAAACAAATAACCCCACCTCTGAAGAAGAAGTTGGATAGCATGATGAATGGCTAAATGAAAAAGTAAAACGAAAAAAAGTAAAACTGCATTTCAATCTGATATTAATTCTAAAAATGTGTATTAAGACTCAGCTGAGAATAGTCCCCAAAAAAGAACTAAAACCTCCTGTTTGAGAAATGTTTGTTAGGAAATTTATTAAACATTGTAGACGCTGATGTCCACACACCAGAGGACACTACAGAGAATTGTCAGGATTTACAAAGTAGGAGCCAATGGGCTTGGGGTTCAGGGCCAAATACAGATTTGGGAAGTCAGAATGTATTGAGAGACAGACTGATATATTGTTGGATTTGGCTGTTGACAATAAGACAAATATAGAATAACTTAGCCTTTTCCTTTAAATATGTAAATTTGTCCATTTTGTGTCCTGCTCTAGAGCTGTGTTCCTGAAAAAAAGTCATGTATACGACCAATGTTTTCTCTTCTTTCTCTTTTCACTGCATTAACAACCATAAATATTGATGACATCTCCTGTGTCTCCCCCTCGTTCTCTCTCTCTGTCTCACACATCTTGGCAGTAATATATTCCTCACGTGGCAGTGCATTAATAGAAAATTTGATGCTGTCAATTTTCTCTCCTTTTTTTGCTACTCTTCCTTTCAATTTCCTTCCTTCCCTTACTCCCCATATACTCACCTTTTCTCTCCTCTTTTACCCTACTTCCTCGCCCCTCTTCTTTCTATTCTTCCACCCTGAATTAAGCTCCTTCCTCACTCTCTTTCTGCCCCCCCCTCCAGTTTATTTCTGTACCCCTTGTCCTCTTCTTTCCTGTATTCTCCCTCCTCACCCCCTCCTCTCCCTTTTTCCTTGTCTATCCTTCCTGCTTTATTTATCCACTGTTTAAAAGCTTTGTTTACATTGAATAGCAAAGCAGGAAATAGAGTGACACTGTTATACTGCCATGAATAGTCTTGTTGCACGGTCCAGGTGGTTGGATTAGGTATAGAGTGACTTTCAGACTGAAAATCAGGGTTTGTATCATGTCTTTTACTATTGATATTGGTTTCTCTAAACCATGACAATGGTTTTCTCTGACCTTAACTAATTCACCAATTGCAGATTTGCACTTACAATACTGTATGCTGTATAAGTTAGAAGGATTATAATTCAAAATTTCAAAAAACCATGTTTGAATATGTGGAAACTGACAAATCACTTGAATTTATTCAAACTACACACCTAATCCAACTCCTCAAATGTATTTTTGTGGTCACTTGTCATCAGATAGTTTTACCTTTAGCAATAATTTTGACACTTTATATTTTGACAGGTTGCTTGGCATGTGGTTGAGTGTTGTGATTATCTATCCATCACTTCCTGGTTTCCTGTATTGTTATCTAACAGAACATCAATAGTCTACAATACTGACAGGTCAACAGAGCATGCAGTAGGTGAGCTGGATCAAGCTCTCAGCATGCTCACTTGGGAAACATTGGTCTCCAACTGCCATTGTTGTTGTGCACATACTGTGCAAGTAGCGGGAGCCATCATTGCTCTTCGATACTTTTGTAGGTGCTGTGGACAAATGTGTGTAACAAGCACAAGGGAAGGCTGCTGGAGAAGACAAAGCAGGAAAAGCTGCATGTGAGGGTTCTTTGTTGAAAACTTTTACAGTGGCTGCAGGTCACCGTTGTACAGCACCTGTGCTGTTTTGATTCCTCAGTGGTTATATGATTATTGGTGTATTTTTGAAGGAGGCGAGTAAAAGGAGACCACATGAACATTGTGTAGACCACAGGGTTTCAAAATTGGAGAGGATTACAGATCAAATATTTAAAGACTAATTTATCATCAGGCTGAAAAGCAGTGTTTTTCTGCCCCCTCTGGCTGATTTTAAGCCTGTTTCACCTTTGACCGCATGGTGTGATGAGAAGTGCTTGTTGCACCTATAACCACAACCACAGGGTCTCAGAGTACGCCCATGCATCACTGCAGTAAAGTTAGATCCACTGGAGGTCAACAAGAACCAGATTTTCAGATTGCGCTAAGTTACTTCACACATTCCACATGTTTTTCAATGTTTCAGACTACAACATTTTGACTTCCTTCTTTCAGGTGGCTGTAACCTCCCTGCCTTTGCCCTGGTCAAAGATGGAGTTCCCCGACGACTTCCTATTGGCCGAGCTGGGCCACCTGCAGCTCTACAACGACTCGCTATTCCAGAACAACTTCACCGGTAGCTACAACGAGACCGACGCCTTACTGCCAACGGGGGTGAAGGTCACCATTGTGGTTGTCTATATGATCGTCTGCGTCATCGGCCTTGTGGGAAACTTCCTGGTCATGTATGTCATCATAAGGTAAGACAAACAAAGGTCTGATATAATGGATGTATGTGAGATTTCAGTTCCAGTTTAGCGACAGCACATTTTCAGTCGTTCCTACAAATCAAAGGATTTACAATCAGGAAGGATGATACGACCACTGTTGCTATAGCAATCCAAACCAACAGAACAAAATACTTTAATACATCTATAAATCATGCAGTGTAAACATATAAAAAGGACTTTAGATCTTTTCAGTTGTTTTTAGATGATGTGAGGATTCAGTTTTATTCAAGTCACAGCTCAGTGTCACTACAGCAGCACTGCGTCTCTCAGATGCTCAGTTGCTGTCACCACAGTCTGTTGATGCTGATGCTGAATTATTAGTTCATAAATCAATTCACCGATTAAAAGGAAATTATTCAGTGCCAATCTTGACAGTCAGTTAAGTCATTTATCATATAAAATCACCCTTATCTCATATGATTTATCACCTAAATTCACTCTTTCCTACGTGTCTTTTCACTGTAACTTGAATATGTTTGTACTCTGGGATCCTCTGATGGGCAACTATCTTTTTTGACATTTTTAGCCCAGCGCTTCTCAATCTGCTGGTTTCTGAGAGGTTGCAATATAAATATCATATGCAACAAATTTGATTATTTTTTTAATACTTCCCCTTTTCTTGGAATTATTGAATATTTTTACATCATCAGGCTTCTAAAAGGTACTCAGATGAATTCTCATTCAGCCAGTGATGAGTTGCTGCAGCTACATGAAATGAATGTATTAAAGATTATGATAAATTGAAACATTGGAGGACATCAGGCTCCTTCAAATAAATTTCTCTAACATCGACTACTCAAGGTGATCTTTCAAAGCACTCAAGCCGCCCTCAGCATGCAGCTCCATGTGTCTGTGTGTCTGTGTGTGTGTGTGTGTGTGTGTGTGTGTGTGTGTGTGCACATTTCTGATTGCGTAGATATTTTTGTAGAAAGCCTCGCAGGCAACTGTCTGGTCATGTGTGTGTCATGTGTGCTACTGTGTGTGTGTGTGTGTGTGTGTGTGTATGAGAGAGAGAGTGTGAGTGTGTGCGCGCACATAGTATCCCCCTGTGAATTTGATTGAAACAAGTGTAGGTGGACATGTGGGTGTTGTGTGAGCTTGTGCATGTGTGCAGTCATGGTTGGCCTGGTGGGCAGCCGCTGTCTGCTCATGCATGTCATGTTGAACCAGGAGACTGTGTATGTGTTTGTGTGTCAGTGACTTTGTTATTGTTGGGACACTTTGCAGTGCTTTTGCTCTGTATTAAAACTGAATGTTTGTTTGCTCAAGACAGACGTCAGACTGCATCAAGCGCTGTGCAACACATGACTGAAAGCTCTGTCCTTGCTCCTGATTTTCAGATTTAGAAAACATGGTGGTGTGGGAAGTGTTGTCTAATTTCCTCCTATACTGTCATATAAAATCAGTTTCTGAAGAAGCTCACGGACTCCATGCAGTAATAGAATGCTCCATTGCTCCATAGAATATGTTTCACATTTTTTCCAAGCCATTCAGTGACCCCTCGTTCTCTCAAATGGAGGCATCAGCAATCATATGTTATTGTATGTAATGGTGGTGTTCCATTAAGGTTGTATATATGAGATTTTAAACGGTAATATAACAGCAAACAACTATTTTCTATGTAAAGAGATAGTGGAGTACTGGCGTCCTGAGCAGAGAACAAAGTCACACCCTTCTATGTGTGTTGTAATCTGAGTTTCTCTGTTCATTGTTTTGATATCCGGTCTGACACCGCGTGCATGTTAGTGCATATGAATCCCTCCCTGTTAAACCTCTGGTCCTCCCCGCATTTATAAACACACAGGGACCGCCCACATGAGAGATGGCACAGTGCAGTACACAGCGTTCAGGTGAAAGCCACCTTCCAGAGTTTCCTCCACTGAAGAAACCATTTTTTTGGCTAAAAAGACAAAGAAAGAGATAAAACCAGAGCACAAGCGGACTGGCCATTGGGACTACAGGCTTAAATAATGGTCGACCCGTAGATCATCAAAAACATCCAAGAGGTTTTTAAAGTTTTCACCGGCTCCGTCCGCCAGCCTGAATTGGTTTGGCTTTTCTCCTCAATACGTAAATTACTTGACATCTACATAATTTGACATAGCTGTTTTCATAAGTAACGGCTAGAGATGTTGTTTTACATCTAAAAAACTGAGCTTGTTAGATTTGTAGGCTTGTGAGTTCTATAAAGATACTCTGTTTTTCTTAGACAGTTTATAGGATTTTAATTGACCCACTGTGGCTTCAACCACAGCTGCACATTTTCTTTTCAATTACTTCTTCTGAGATCAAGTATACTTCTACATTGCTCCCAGATTCCCATATGGCACAACAGATTGAACAGCCAACAAGTAGCACCATGATATTAATTTTGTTCCTTGGCTTCCTCCTGCGAGATACGAAGTTCTATATAAAACACTGCAAAGCACTAGACAGCTGATTTGAAGCAGTTAAAGTTTCTTCTGCAATAGAACGAGCAAGCAATCACAGTGACAGTTTCACTCCAGATGTGTGGTATGAGAATAATTATTCATAATCCTGAGACACATCTGGTTCCGCAGATCTAAGAATACTGCAATTAAACATACAGTACTGTATGCAGTTTTCTGTAACTATTAAATGTTCGATTAAGACAGCAGCTCATGTTAATGCTGCACTGGAGTCATGAAGTGTCAAGGAAATGATTACATGCTGTAAATTTGTGTGTGTGTGTGTGTGTGTGTGGTCTGTTACCCCCAATGCCTCTTTTACAGATAATTACTATCCTTGTTACACTTCTTATTCTCACTCTGACATGCATGTAGTTGTGCACTATGTATTGTTAACTGTGAATTATTCCACCCGTTTCCACACCTTTATTCACACATTAAACATGCCCAAATATGTACACACACTCACACACACACGCGCACACACACACACACACACACACACACACACACACACACACACACACACACTCTTGTTAGCCTCTAATCCTCCAGCAAAAGCCTCCGCGGTGAATTTTTGTGATAGTTAAGATACTTTTACTCACACAGCTCCAGAGGTTTACTGAGTCGTATAACAAGCATGAAGTCAAGCGAAGAATAGGACAACTTGTCACTGTTGGCGATGTCATGTGCTTAACCTTTTTGAATGCCTACAAGTTGGTAAGCAGGAGGTCAACTGAGCGAAGTGATCTTAAATACAGTAGGTAGAAGAGTGAGGAGAGCAGAAAGTCAGAAGTCAAAGAGATTGTTTTGATATAAATGTAATTTTTCATAAATATCAGTCACTTAGAATAGGACTTTGTATACTCGCGTTCACTTTTAGAATTTTTTCATTATTTTAGATGCATTATGTATATGTTTGCGTGTTGGCCAATGTAGTTAAAAGCTATGCTGCACTGTGTATTTTTACCACATGTAATTTTTCCTACAGAGATGTTTTAGTAGGTAAACATCATAATACGTGTGACTATTTTTCATTTCTTGTCATTTATAGTTGTTTGCTTCAAAATATGGCCTTTGTGTTTGTTTTGACAAACATATACAGTTTGTGTCAAGTTAGAGATACAACCTACAACACTCCTCATTACCTTTAGTTCTCCTCATTTGACCAAAACGTCAAACAGCCCTTAGCTAGTAACTCGTGTTTACTGTGATTTTTAACAGAGCAACGTGGCAAGTGTAACAAGCAGATAAGATAGGGAACACAGAGTCAGTCTCCATAGGTCATCTGTGCAGCAGGATATTATGACCCATTGTTATGTTTTCTTCTTAGGCAACATCTAGCAACTATAGTAATTATGAGAGGAGCGAAAGTCAGGAGATGTGTTGTATAAAGATCGACAAAGTCAGGAGGAGGTTGTGGTGGATGGATGGGTCAACGAAATATGACACAGGAGAGCGGTGTTCGATTCCCATGTGAAAGTAGCAGTTTATATTGTTACTTTTTTCCATGACCGTTTTACAACCTTAACAGCATTGTTATTATTGTGTCCATGACAATGAAGATTGTCTAACATTATGGAAGGAAGAACTTATTTTAACCCAAAGCACGACCTTTTCCCTAAAACACTTCAAGTCCTGACTGTTTATTATTGTAACCATGGTGATGAAGGTCCAGTACGCCATTGTTGGTACACTCCGCATGTTTGTTATTGTAACCATGACAACCAAAGTCCGGCATCAGTGTTTGGACAAAGGACCTGTCTGGCCAACTTCTGTAGCCCAAGAATAAGCCATGCAGAACTAATCCCTTAGCTGAATTAAATGTATTACAGTTAATTATGAGCAAAACTGTGGATTAATTGTTTGATGACTGTATCAAAATCTGATTTCAAATCACAGCCTTAAAGTCAAATCTTAAAACTAAGTGTGTGTTTTTACACCACCTTACAAGATATGCACGTGCATTATCACTCCGCAGGTGAATGACAGTGACTGTCAGAGGCTCCTTAAAGAGCTGAGAAGCTTTAAAGAATAATCTCAGACCGAGTGTAAGTCAGAGCATCAGCCGAGCGCTTTGAATTTAAAGATGCCCAGTTATCCAAAAGACTTAAAGAATGGGGCCCAATGCGATTTAGCTTCAGTTGGTCTTGAGGTGATGGATTGTGGGTAATTACCTGGGATAGACCCATATCTTATCCATGCGGGATGTAGCAGGTGCAGGAGCCGAGGCCCCATAGCAGTCAGCTCAGTTATTCATGACGAGAAGCTGCGGAGAGAAATAGAAAATAAGAAAAAAAGTAAAAACAACAGACTAATTAAGTTAATTAAGTAAATTAAGTCTGTTTTCACGAGATGTGACATTTAGGTGCAGTTTTTAAGAAATACTCACAGCTCAGAAAAGTCTGAGTCGTTCTTTTGCAGTAGATGGGAAGTGGTGACATTTAACCTACGTAAACATATGCCCACACACACACACACACACACACACACACACACACACACACACACACCTTTTACTGCTACAGAGTTGAACATGAA